CTCCTTATTTCCTGACTGCTCGTACCAAGGGTGTTAATTGTGGATCCAAGCAAGATGAAGCTGTTGACAGTTTCAATCTTCTCCATCCATCATGACTGTCCAGTGGAAAGAATCTTTGTTTTCTTGATACTGAGATGCCATCCATACTGAAGTCTGCATTTCTTGATCTTCTGCAACAAGTGCCTCAAATCCTCCTCACTTTCAGCAAGCAAGGTTGATGCAGGTACCTTTCTCCAAATTATTGAGTAGTGATGATGTTAGTTTGACAACTAAGGTGTGTCTGATTCAGGCCATAGTCTTTCCAGTTTCTTGCTATGCATCTGAGAGCTGGACAGTGAATAAGGATGACAGAAAAAGAATTGAAGCCTTTGAGCAGTGCTGTTGGAGAAGAGCCCTGAACATTGCATGGATAGCCAAGATAACAAATACATATGTCTTGGAGAGTGTGTGCAGCTGGAATGCATGTTGGATGCAAGAATGATGATGTTTTGTCTCACATACTTTGGGAATGTTGCTAAGAGGGACTTTTCCTTGGAGAAGGACATGAGGCTCAGAAGGGTGGAGGGTTGGTGGAGAGGAAGACCCTCAACCAGATGGATTGACACAGTGCCTGCTGCATGGGCTCTTGTGTGTCAGGAAGTGTGAGGATGGTGCAGGACAGAACGGGGTTTGGATCTTTTATTCATAGGGTCGCTATGAGTTGTTCTCGACTCAACAGCACCTGACAACACCAACAACAATGTTAAGATGTAATCCAACACTACTACAGGCAAATCCAGGTATTCTGCTCTTATTTCCTGTACTCTACATGTCACCATTTGGATTTGCTTCTTTTTTTGTTGGCTGTAGGGAGCTCTGGTGACTTTGTGGTTAGTTGTTGGGTGGCCAACCCAAAAGGAAATGGTTTGAATCCACCAGCTAGAAAGAGGGGTAGATTTTTCCTTTCCAGTTTACTGCCTCTGAAAACTCACTGGAGGGTCAACTATGGGTTGGTTCTGACTCAGTGGTAAATAACAACATCAGGTTGTTGACTTATTCACAGATAACTTTTCTTTAGCAACTCTAGTTTTACCTACCAGCTTAGCAAAAGTCACTTAATAGTTTTGTCAATAATTCTAGCAAAAGTAATTTTAATAGCTTTGTTAATAATCCTAGCAAAAGGCCTAGGGTTGATGCTTTTTGGTCCAATTTGGTTATATGCCTGCTGGTCAAAGGGAAATTAGACTCCTATAAAAGACCAGGCCTGGACCAGGTTTCTGTTTGATCCCTTCCCCAGCCCATAAATGGTGGTCACACCCCATGAAAGGAGAATGAGTTGAGTAGGTACCTAAGGACAAGTTTGTGCTGTTCCTAAGATAATTGGAAATGAATGCTGAGCAAACAACAACAGCTGCCTGCTGGAGAGAAGATCTAATTAATTGGAAATAAAGTCTCTCTGGAAGAACCATAACACACATTATCTCCTTAAAGGCTCTGAGTAGTCCCATGGTGACAGAGCCTTTAAACCTGGTTTAAAGGTAAAAACAAATGGTTCTTTTGGCAAGAGATAAAAGCACTCCCAGATGCCCTTTTCCCTTAAGCTTTGGTAGTAATGTTCCATGTAATGTACTTGCTCAGTTATTTTTTCATTTGATCCTCCTGTTAATCTGTACTTGGAACCACAAATTTATGAAGTTTTAAGAGAACTGAAGGATTTTAGCTGATTTTCGTTTATACCACTCCTTATACACATTTACTGACTTTCTATCTGGTGGATCTTGCAGATGGATTCTGAAGGGAGAAACTAGTACCCCCCCCCCCAAATGAAAATAAAATAGCATGAGTGCACGAAATCTTTTCCGAATGTCTCTTTTTCTCTTTTCGGGCTCCCCTATTTTATTGTGTGGTGGTACCTTTGAGTCAGTGCAAGCTCATAACATCCCAGGTACAGTTGACCCAAACCTTCCCCAATCCTGTGCCATCATTACGGTCTCTGCTGTCCTTCCTTCCATTCTTATAGTCAGTATGTCAGTTCATCTCCTTGAAGTTTTCCTCACTGACCCTCAACTTTTCCAAACATGATGTCCTTTTCCAAGGATAGTTGTATCCGACCAGACCAAGGAAGGCAATGAAGTAGCTGATGCTCATAACTGAATTGACCATAGTGAAAATGTATCATTATGACAGCAGGTTTGGAATGGAAAGAGACCCGTAATTTTAAAATAAGTTAAACTGAAGTCTGATTTTGATGGCTGATTGAGAAGTTGCTGCTTCCACCTCTGGTAAGCTTACAGTTGGGGATTCACATGTTTGTGGAGGATTAAGTGAGGCTTTATAGATAGATTGGGCCAAATGACTAAAGACCAAGAGTCTCTGCAAGTACTTTTAGAAGTTCCAATTGAATATTTCAGAGGCATTCAACTTTTTTGTTGTTGTTGCATACTGTCGAATTGGATCCGACGGGCACAGGAGGAGATTGCTTCTCCCCCAGCAGAGCATCTGATGGATTTGAACCGCATGCCTTTAAGATTGCAGCGCAGCTTCTTGCCACTAGGCCACCAGAGCTCCCTAGCATTCAAATTTTAAGAATAAATTAAAACCACAGCACCTGTTTATTATTGTGTCCTTCATAAATAGTTGATAATTTATAATCTTGGCCTTTACTTTTGTTTTAATCCTCAGTGGTCTTGGTTCTTTTAAGAAGCTGTTAGAAATTTCATTTGTAGACTATTTAATAAAATAATAGTTTGGGTTATGGGCAGGTATAAATCTTTTGCTCTTCTTGGTCATAATACAGGCCAGAAGTAATTTTTCAGAAGAAAAGATTGGCTGGTTTCTGTTTTGTATAGGGATTGTTTCTATGTGCTATCAAGTCAACTGTGGTTCATAGTGACCCTATGAATAACGGTTATAGAGGTAGAGAGCTGAGGTTAAAAGAAAAAAGAAAATACCTCCGTTACAAAAGGACAAATACTGCATATCAATGCTATTATAGAATAGAACAGACATGGGGGGAAAAGAGAATGTGAAAAGAGTGTATAGATAATGAACATTGCATTAGAACAGATGAGGGGAAGAACTATCCAAAAGGATTGTATGATTAGACATTATATACATCACAACAATGTGGAACCAGGGGTGTATTGATTATGGGGTGTACTAAGGGAGGTGGGGAGAAGAAAAAGTGCAAAAACGAATAAGAAAAAGTTAAAGAAAAAAGAACCAAGACCTATTGTTCACAGAAATAACAGTAGACATATGAGTAATTTTGTGCCGTATTTTTTTCCTTTTTTTGGTTGAAATTACTCTGCTAGTGAATATACATGTGTAAGTAAAAAAAAGGTAAAATATTTCCTCTGCTTTCACATCTTGACTGCCTTCCCTTGTTACTGTGAAAAACTTAGTTTTAGGTCAGCTATCTTCCAGCAAAGAAAAAGTCTGTGAAGGAATATAATGCATAAGATAGAATGAATTTAATGTAATAAATACCTTTCAAAGGCAGAAAATAAAGAGTACCAGAGGGATATCTGTATTTCATTGACTATGCAAAGGCATTTGACTGTGTAGATTACAATAAATTGTGGTTAATCTTGAGGAGAATGGGAATCCCAGAACACTTGGTTGTGCTTATGCAAAACCTATACTTGAACCAGGAGGCAGTCCTCAGAACAGAGCAAGGAAACACTGCATGCTTCAAAATCTGGAAGGGATGTGTCCTGTCTCTATACCTTTACAATCTACATGCAGAACAGATCATTTGGGAGACTGGACGTTATGAGGAGGAATGTGGCATCAGGATTGGAGGAAGACTCATCAACAACCTATGTTATGCAGGTGACACAATTTTGTTTGCTGAGACTGAGGAGGACCTGAAGCTCTTGCTGCAGGTCAAGGACTGTAGTCTTCAATATGGATTGAAGCTCAACATCAAGAAGACAAAGATTCTCACCACTGGGCCAATTAGCAGCACCATGATGGATGGAGAAGAGACTGAGGTTGTTAACAGTTATAGCTTGCTCGGCTCCATTTGGCACCAGCAGTCAGGAACAAAAGGTGAATTACATTAGGTAAATCTGCTGTCAGGGACCTTTCCAGAGTACTGAGAAGCAACGATATCATTCTGGAGACTAAAATCCATCTACTCCAGTCCATGGTCTTTGCATCCGAGAGCTAGTTAATGACTAAGGATGATAGAAGAATTGATACCTTTGAGTTGTGGTGCTGGAGAAGAGTCTTGAACAAACTATGGACCATCAAGAAAACAAATAGGTCAGTCCAGGAAAGGGTAAAACTAAGTTTCTTCTTGGAGGCTAGAATTTTGAAGCTCCATATCACATACTTTGGGGATATAGCCAGGAGGGACCAATCCTTGGAGAAGGACATCATGCTCGAAAGGGTGGAGGGACAGCACAGGAGAGGTAGACTGTGGATTAGATGGATTGATGCAATAACTAGGGCAGTGGTGGTAGGTGTCTCGGAGTCAGTGAGACTGGCTCAGTACAGGTCAGGCTTCAGAGCTGCCATAGATAGGGTCACTAAGAGTCACAGGTGACTTGACAGCACATAACAACAACAACAACAACATCCCTTTCAAATGCAACCTTGAATTTTTGATAGAACCATTTTGGTTTTTGTAAGAAAGATGTGTAGGTGTGTTTTCTTAAAACGAATGCATATTTATTAAAAATTATTCCAGATTTGAATTTGACTTTACTGCAGTCAGAATGCCTGTTCATTAGTAGGATACAAAATACTTTTTTGAAATTATTCATTCTCTGAAGAATTGAGATTACTCTCTATTGTACAGATGAAAAAAAAGAAGCATTTTAAGGACATAGAAATTTGTATCTATGACCATCCAAAGCCCGTGTACTTTTCTCTACACGAAAGCACTTTGTGAATTAACTAGTAAGCTTAATAATGTTTTAATTTTTTCAGTCCAGTTAGAAAATGAAGATATTTATCACTTAATTGTCTTTTTCTTCTTTCTTTTTTACTTTATTTAGTCTACAAAAAAAGTTGTTCGTTGGATATGGATGATAAGCCTGATCCTGGAACTCTAACTGAGGGTGCAGAACTTCTCTTCTCCTTTGGAATTATAGCAGATATTCAGTATGCTGATTTAGAAGATGGCTATAATTTCCATGGAAGCAGGAAGAGATACTACAGACACAGTCTTCTACATTTACAGGGTGCTGTGGAAGACTGGAATAAAGAAGTCCCCTGTTGTGTACTTCAGCTTGGAGATATTATTGATGGATATAATGCACAGTATCAAACATCAGAAAAGTCACTAGAAGTTGTTATGAACACATTTAAACTGCTTAAAGTCCCAGTTCATCATACGTGGGGAAATCATGAATTTTATAACTTCAGTAGAGACTATTTAACCAATTCCAAACTTAACACAAAGTTTCTAGAGGACCGGATTGAACATCATCCTGAGACTATACCTTCAGATAATTACTATGCTTATCACTTTGTACCATTCCCTAAATTCCGGTTCATTTTACTTGATGCTTATGACTTGAGCATCTTGGGTGTGGATCAGTCTTCTCCAAAATACCAGCAATGTATGAAGATACTGAAGGAGCATAATCCAAATGCGGAATTAAATAGTCCTCAAGGTGAATTATTCCTTTGCGCTGAGAATCTAATACATAGTCTTTAAATTCTTCAGCTACCTTTTATTCAGCAGGAAGATGCACGATTAAGGTAAAAGTACATTGTTGCTGTTGTTCAGGGTCCGGATATGCCACAACTTGATGTCACACAGATTGACTGCAGTTGAGTCAAGATTTCTCTATTGAGCAAATACTTGAATGCTTACTCTCTGATGGGCACTTTTACTTGGGCAACCTAGCCAGAAATATGAAACATATTGGCAATATCCTTTTTCTGTGGATGCAGTAGGGCAGACAAGACAGGTAGGTGCACAAGATAGATGAGAAATCAAGCAAAAAACAATTTTCCATAGTATAAGTGCTATCAGGAAAACAAAGCCTTGTGCTGTAATGGATTATTCTGATGGCCTTTCTGGCCATTGACTCTATAACATTCTCCACATGAAATGTTATGCGGATGTAAGGTGTTTGTGCCCACCAAAGGAATCTCCTTGGATAGTAAAGAAGGTAAATGGCACCTTTTGAGTGAGAAAATGCAAAGTAAGATGTGTAGAATGTTCAAGTGGGGATTGCTGAGTTTTTCCATCCTACCAGGCTTAGAGCCAAGCAGGCTCAAAGGTTGAAAATGGAGAATCTCACTGTCTTCAAGAAAGAAGAACCAGAGTGTAGCACATCCTTTGTACTTGAGATTCCTTCACCATTCAGGGATGAGGTTGATGTCCAGATGGTGGCAGTGGCAAGAATGGTGGGAGCAGTGGGGAAGAACTGGTGTGAGAGAGCTGAGCTACAGCTGCTGACCCAGGAGCTAGAGCAGACCACCATCAAGGCCAGGCAGGGTAGGGAGAGGTGCATGATTGGCAGAGTTAAAAGACCTTTGTAACACTTGTCCAAGAAGGGCAGAGGCCAAGGCCATGAGACTGAGCAGAAAGAGGCTTGCCTTCAAGCATACCTGAGAAGAGGCTGTCCTGATTAAAGAATTATGAATGTTTCCAACCTGATTGTAACCTGTTACTTCCCTAATAAACCCCATAATCGTGAGTATTATCTGTGAGTTCTGTGTGATCATTGCAACAAATTATTGAACCCAGTAGAGAAGTAGTGAATACCAAGGGAGGGATGGTTGGTATTAAAACTGAAGGAAATTGAAAGAATTTGTTCAAATTTATACTTGAATTTTATAAATAAACTAGTAGAAAAATTTTTTAAATAACCAAAAACCTGAAGGAAGGTGTGACATGAAGGGGCATGTCTGACTTCATAGGAATTGTCTTTTTGGTGGCAATGCTGATGATGGAAGTTCTTCCCTCTTAAATTAATGGAGGCCAGGTACTGCTGCATCTATACCTGCCACACTACTTTTATAAGCAGGATGATGCTACAGGAAAAGACTGGTTACTATTTTAGAATAAGTGACCAGAGAACGTCTAAGGGAAGAAGTATTTGTGCTGAGACCTGCATGTCAAAGAGCCGAAGAATTGAGGCAGCGTAAGGAGCCCTGTTAGCACAGTCATTAAGTGCTCAGTTGTTAACCAGAAGGAGGTGGTGTGAACCTCCCAGCTGCTCCACAGAAGATGTGACAGCCGACTTCCATAGAGATGACAGCTTTAGAACCCCTCAATGGTAATTATATTCTGTCCAATGGGGTTGCTATGAGTTGGGGTTGACTCATGGCATTGGGATTATGGGGGCAGAGTAATCCAAATAGGGAAAAACAAACATAAAGATCCAAGTAGAAGAAATAAGATTATAATTTTTGAAGATCACAGAAATAGGTCAATGACAAGACCAAGATGATTTTTGAGCTTCAAATTAATATAATGTACACCTTTGAAACAAAAGTTAAAATATATAGTAAGGAATTTGTATTTTTGAAATGTGGAAAGCCAGTGAAGTAAGCAGTAAAAGGTCAAAACTAGGATTTAAGGTAGATCGTGATTTAGATAGTAAACTTAGGGTTTTTATGTTAACTTACTTACTCTTTTTAAGATTGTTTCCAGTCACATATTCCTATAGAAAGGTACTGGTGTCCCCTGCATTAGCTAAATTTAAATGCCCAAATGAGGAGAAAAAAGACATTTAGTGGATCTGTCTTTCTGACTTCATTTCAGGACTTTCTGAGCCTCAGTTTGTCCAGTTTAATGGAGGCTTCAGCCAAGAACAGCTGAACTGGTTGAATGAAGTGCTTACATTCTCTGACTTGAACCAAGAAAAGGTGGTGATTGTGAGTAAGTACTTATCTAATTACACTAGCATTTTAGGGAATGTAGATTAGATTTTTAAAACTACTAACATACAATGCTAGCCCATTTCTGTGAAATAGATGCTTAGTTTAAAAATTTTTTTAAATTGTGAAACAGCCTGGATACAAGTTTAACATTTCAAGTTGAGTCCAGAAAGAACTGTGAAATAACAAAAACTTTCTGACATGTTAAAAAGCTTCTACTCTATCTACATGTTTTCTCATATCAGTAGATTATTAATAACTATTTGTACATATAAATACAATTTTTTATTGCAAATCATCTAAAATAAGTTAGAGGAATTCTATAGCTAAGTTAGCCTCTGTTGCCCTTCAGGAATCAAAATAGAATGTCCTCAAATGAGGTCAACTTATAATTTTCAAATGAGAAAGTCCATTCAGACCATACACTGAATCTCAGTCTTAGGAGACCTGATTATCAGTGAGGTGACTAGACAGCCATTGCTGCCTGTATGAAAGGAAAGCTGGCATCACAGGGAGCAGTAGATATGTTCAGTTCTCTAACTCCATCTACCATGAGAATAACTTGGATCTGTGTTCTTTTAATTTAGGATAAATAGATTTTTGACAGACATTGTGCCATTACAGGACTCTGGACATGCTTAAAACATAAACTTAGCCATACACATCTGTTGTTGTTATGTGCCGTCGAGTTGCTTGTGACTCATAGCGACCCTATGTACAACAGCCCCAAACTCTGCTCTGTCCTGTGCCAATCGCACTGTCTCTGACACTCCCATTCCGATTATCCCAGTCACTGAATCAGTCCACCTCATAGAGGGCCTTCCCCTCCTGCGCTGTCCCTCCACCCTCCCAAGCATGATGTCCTCCAAGGACCGGTCTCTCCTCACAACATGTCCAAAGTATGTTAGACGGAGCCTCAGAATCCTTGCCTCCAAGGAGCCACCTGGTTTAACCCTTTCCAGGATGAATCTGTTTGTTTTCCTAGCTGTCCATGGTACTCTCAATACTCTTCTCCAGCACCACAGCTCAAAGGCATCCATTCTTCTTCTATCCTCCTTGGTCATTGTCCAGCTCTCTGATGCATAACAAGTGCTTGTACACATCTACACACAAATAATGATGACCATTTGGATATGGCTAGGGAGTTCTGGTGGCCTAGTGGATAAGGAAGTGCACTGTCAGTCCAGAGGCATGTAGTTCAAATCCACCAGCACCTTCAAGGGAGAAAGATGAGAAGTTTCTTCTTGTGCATTTTACAGCTTCTGAAAACCTGCTGAAGGATCAGCTATGAGTTTGGTCTAACTCAACAGCACATAACAACAGCATATATAAGTCAGAACTCCTTTTCTAGAATTGATGTGGCATAATGGATAAGATTAGACTTGGATTTAGAAGAACTGGAAACCCATTTAGCCCTTATTTATTGTATAAGCTCTGGGACCCTGGACACATATTTAACCTACATAATGCTGTTTCTTCAGTATTGAGTATTATAAAATTATAAATTAAAACACTTGGAGAATGGTAATAAAATGATGTTTCTTTGTAAAATCTAATTATTATTTGTTCACCTTACAACAATATGGGGAAAACTTGTAGATGGACTAGAAGTATTTTTGTTGCCATCAGAATATTTAATGTCATTCAAGGCTTGAAAAATATAGGGGGCCTTCTCTAAGAATGGGGAATTAAAACAATGGGATAGTACTTGACTTGAGTCTGCTCTTTTGTTCTCCACTGCCAAGCTGTAACTAGAGCTAAAGTAAACCTAGACATATAGCCAAATTCCTTTGTTTTAAAGATAAGGAAATAGAGACCAAAGAAAATGGAACTAGATAGGTAAATTACTGTAGGTCCTGACAGAACTGACACTGGAATCTCAGTTTATTTCCAGTCTCCTTTCCTGGTTTATCCTAAATTCTTCCCAAGTCTTTTTAAAACTGCTGTAAATGCACCTTTCTACTTTTGTTATTACGAGGTACTATCAAGTTGACAACAACTCATGACAATCGTATGAGCAACAGATCTGAAACCTGCTCTATTCCTCACCATCCCCACAAACCGAGAGGCTTGAGCCCATTGTTACAGTAAATTGCTACTCCGATTTTGCCATAAACTAAGAAACTGTACAAGCAAATCTTTAACAACTATGAAAGGGGTTTGTTTGTTTGTTTGTTTTGGGGTGTTTTTTTTTTGGTAAATCTTAAAATGTTTAATAGAAATTTTCTTTTTTGTTTGCTTTTTAACTTTTCCTTTTGGCTTCTCAGGTCATTTTTTCTGTTTGTTGAATTTTGACTTTGTAGTTAGATGAATAGATTTGCCTTTTTCTGATTGAAGCTGTCAATGGTTTCATCTTGCTTCCTGATCAATAATCAGCCTCCTTGGTACCAGAAGTCAGGAAATCAAGAAATGTATTTTATTGGGCACTAGAATCTGCCTTACTCTACTGTTGATAGGTTTTTCAGAGGCCTGTTACTTAAGGCCAACCCTGCTTCCTTGTCTCTCTTAATCTGGGAGCTTTTCTAAAACCTGTCCACTATGGGTAACACTTAGGGCATTTGACTCAGCAGGGCACAGCTTCTAGTATCAGAGCAACCCACTGTACCAGTTAGAACAGTGTTCTCCACACACACACAACCTGACAATTTAGTCTGTAGCTCAAATGGTCATAAAGGCCCGTCCACTGAATCCTAATTGGTTTAAACAAGAGGCTCCCAGCCCATAGCTGATTGTTAATTAAATAAAAAAGACCAAACAGCCCACAACTGTTTATCGGTTGTATTCTCTCTCCATACCTATTTAATTTGTATGCTGAGCAAATTATTTGAGAAGCTGGACTCTATCAAGAAGAATGTGGTGTCAAGATCTGAAGAAGATTCATAAATAGCCTGGGATGCAAATGACACAGAACCTTCCTTGCTGAAAGTGAGGAGGACTTAAAGCACTTGTTGCAGAAGATCAAAGAATACAGCCTTCAATATGGATTGTATTTCAACATCAAGAAAAGAAAGATTCTTACCACTAGACTGATGGACCATATCATGATAGATAAAGATTAATAACAGAGTTTGATTCCAGGGGAAGAAGCTTTGTCTAAGGACAATTCTGAAATCTTTTCTCAACCAAATAAAAAGAATTCTCCTTTCCAATTGCTGTGGAGTTAAACCTATCCCTGTAAAACCTATCCCATCAGAGAGCTAGACAATGAATAAAGATTACAGAAGAAGAATTGATGCCTTTAAGTTGTGTTGCTGGAGAAGAGTACTGAGTATCCCATGGACTGCCAAAACAACAAATGGATATGTCCTAGAGAGGGTGCAACCAGAGTGCTCCTTGGAAGCAAGGATGACAAAGCTTCGTCTTTCATAATTTGGACATGGAGCTATGCAAGGCTATTCCTTGGAAAGGGATGCTTGGAAAGATGGAAGGTCAATGAAAAAAATGAAGACCTCCAGTAACATAAACTGATAACTGTAACTTCAGCAATGGACTATGGTATCTCAGAGATGGTGAGGATGGCACAGGATAAGGCAGGTTTCATGTTGGCTGTTCTTGGATTGCTGTGAGTCGTAATCAACTTGATGTACCTAACCAGAACAACAACAAAGATGGAAAATGTTACAGGAGAGGGTTTTGGGGGGAGAGTTCAGGAGTTCGCCCTCCTGAAACAGTATATATATCAAGTTGAAAATGCCTAATAGATATCAGAAGTCTTTTAGTAGTGGAGATGCTAAGTAGACAGTTTGGACATGTGCATCTGAACTTAAGTATTGAAATTTGAGTTAGATGTATAAATTGGGACATTGAAAAAACATAGATGATCTTTATTTTTGTTTTTAGTAAAAGTTAACAAATCACACTGGTTTTCATTCTTGATTTCTACACTTTTTTAATAATAGCACTAATTACAATTGATCAGTGTAATTCATTACTTCCCATATCTTGTTAACTCCTTATTGTATACTGAGATACCAACTTATCTCTCTCTCTGTCCTCTCTCTCTCTTTCTATCTATCTATCTATCTATCTATCTATCTATCTATCTATCTATCTATCTATCTATCTCTGTCTCTATTTTTAGCTCTATCTCTCTCTCTCAGACACTCCTAATACACTAGGAAAATGAGGAGAAACTAGCAAAGGAGATGACAATTTAATGACCACTAATACTGGACTGGGAAAATCTGCAGTTAGGGACCTTTTCAAATTATTGAGGATTAAGGATGCCAGTTTGAGGACTAAGATGTGCCTGATTCAGGCCATAGTCTTTCTGATTACTTACTATGCATCTGAGAGCTGGACAGTGAGTAAGAATGACAGGAAAAGAATCGACACCTTTGAGCTGTGGTTTTGGAGAAGAACACTGAACATCCCATAGACAGCCTAAAGAATAAACAGATATGTCTTGGAGAGGGTGCAGACGGAGTACTCTTTGGAGGCTTCACCTCACGTACCTTGGGCATATTGCTAGGAGGTGCTATTCCTTGAAGAAGGACATGATGTTGGGAAGGGTGGAGAGTTGGCGAAGAAGAAAGACCTCGACCAGGTGGATTGACATGGTGACTGTTGCAGTGGGCTCTTGTATATGAGGGAGTGTGAGGATGGTGCAGGACAGGACAGGACAGGATTCAGATCTTTTGTTCATGGGGTTGCTATGAGTTGTACATGACTAGACAGTACCTAACAGCAACACCAGGGGAGAAAAACAAGGGGAATGTGGTATCTTGGCAGGCAAGTGTTTCAAAGAGGTGGAAGTGACTGCTAGCTGCTGCAGAGTCCTGATATGAGCCCGGAATGAGCCACAGCACTTATATTTAGTATGAAGACTGTGACCTGATATTTCTGGCCATCAAAAATTCAAAATTTTCCTGACTCCCATATGTTCACAGTAGTGGGACTTAAATACTTCCTGTTCTGTCTCAGCTGTAAAGTGGATATGGCTAACTTATTTCATGGAGGTGTTGTGAAGAAAACCAGTTTTGAAATGCCATGAACCACCGCTAAACCACTGCGAGTATAAATGACACCTGATCCTGAGCATCTTATTTAAATGGCTCCTTTCTTAAGAGTCACATCTTTCTATGTATGTAACGTCTGTATTTATGAAAATCAAAGAGATTGGGTTCCAGCACAAAATCTGCCTGCTTTCTGGCTGGCCCTGCAGAGTGGCTCACACAGGACGGCCTGATGTGCCTGGGTTCTCACAGGCATGGCTCTCTGTGTAGTGCTCAGGGATCTCAGGCTTTCTGCCTCCACATTGTCTTGTTCCCACTTGGAAGGGAACTGACTCTTCTTTCTCCAGAAACCACAGATTGCATAGTTCCTCATACATCTGGATCCTCTCTGATCTCAATCCATTTGGATAATGAGAAAGGTTTTTTCCTGAGGAGTGATTTTTTTTTTAGCCATTTATTTGATGAAAGTGCTATTTCTAATTGTTTCATAACTTTTTTTTTCCTTTGACTGACAGGCCATCTTCCCATTTACCCCGACTCCTCTGACAGTGTGTGCCTCGCCTGGAATTACAGGGACGCCCTGGCAGTCATTTGGTCTCACGAATGTGTGGTGTGCTTCTTTGCTGGCCATACTCATGACGGTGGATACTCCGAGGATCCATATGGTGTGCACCACGTCAGTCTAGAAGGAGTCATTGAAACGGCACCAGACAGCCAAGCTTTTGGCACAGTTCATGTCTATCCTAATAAAATGATTTTGAAAGGGAGAGGCAGAGTCCCAAACAGAATTATGAATTACAAGAAGAGAGCTTCCCATTGTTAGCCTGATTTGTTTCGTTTACCTGGTAGAAGAAAAAAAAAATATTAGTGTTTGCACTTGTTCCTCCTTCTTTCTCCCCCCAAAAATAACAGCTCACAAAAGCAATAAAATTAATGAATCTCATTGTTTAGTCATGAGACATATATATCTTTTTTGGCTTCAGTGTGCATTAGATCACAAAATATTCTAAAATGTTGGAGAATACAGTTGTCATTGCTGTGTCAGAAAATAAACTAAGGAAGAAACTGAGGCGTTGGGGGTGTGGGTGTTAAGTTAAAAGGGACTTCTTTTAACCTCACCTGATTTTCCTCCCTTTTACAAAAAGACTATATTTCTTACCTATGTAATTTTAAATTCATAATAAAACAGTATATAAAATAAGCTCAGGCAAACTTTTCTATTCACCCTGCTATGCGAATAAGCTTTGGACTTTTTGTGCCCAGAACTCCCACCTTATGTGGAGTTTGGTAGGCTCATATTACTTTTATTTTTTAAGCAAAAATAAACCAACAAAAATTCAAGTATTTCACAGAGGTCATGTGATTGCTTGGGATCCTAACCAAAGTAGGATGCAAGAGCCAATGCAGCTGGCTTGTTAGGGCCGCCAGATGTGAGCCTGCAGGATGTAAAGGGCCCTCCCATGACTCCCTTTAGAGAAAAGGCAGACATGTTTAAATAGATCAGTTGCCATGTATGCTAAGACTTACTTGCAAACCAGCTACTAGATCCCAAAGAGGAGCTGTTCAAATACAGGGAAGGTTTGACTCAAACCTTAAAAACAATATTGTTACCCTCTGACCTACACCCCAGCAGCCAGAGCTGGGGTCACATTGTAATAAAATGATTCCTGGGGTTAAAAACAAAAAAACCACACCAAAAAAACCAACAATGTAAGTAGGTGACTCATAGAGACCCTATGAAGGAAAGTCCTCAACACTTGTGTGACTTTCATCCTCTCTCCAGGTTCATAAGGTTTCCAGAGGCAAGCTACTATGGAAGTGGATGCCACTCCTGCTTCCAAGCTTGTTTTAATCAGGAAGCTCCACCAAACACTGTCCACCATGGATAACCATTATCACATTTGACACATCAGTGTCACAGTGTTTAGCATCACAGCAACGACAAGTTACCTCTGTACAGCAAGTGGACACACCAGGGCTGTATGACCTAGAAGAATGTTTGACCAAAAGCAATGAAAGACAGGCCTGAGGGCCATGGATTAGAGCCACCCACCTTTGGCTTGGTATCATCACTTTCTGTCCACTGGGCCAACTGATCACTCTCTATGTTGATGTTATTGCTAAGTGTGTTGAGTCGTAGGCGACTCATAGTGACCCTATGAAGGAAAGTCCTCAACACCTGTGTGACTTTCATCTTCTCTCCAGGTTCATAGGGTTTCTGGAGGCAAGCTAATATAGAAGTGGATGCCACTCCTGTTTCCAAGCTTGTTTTAATTGGGGAATTCCACCAAACACTGTCTGCCATGTTTAATCATTAACAAAAGAAGAAATACATACTAGTCAGTCTTGAGTGTGAATGATGAGTGTCCAGAAGATACACTGTGAAGACTGATCATTGTATTGAGTTGGCTCTGGTCCACGGCAGCCTTCCAAATGGCAGAGGTTTGAAACCCTGCCTGGTCTTTACACTCACTGCTAAGTTCACGTCCATCGTTAAGGCTATTATTGTACAGTGCTTTTCTGGGTGTCTAAGGTTTATCATTCAGATAGCTTCTCAAGATTGGCCGTTTATTTTGAGCAGAAGTAATTATTAAGGAGAGAGGATTAGGATGGGATACAAGCTCCACCCTACTAGAAGTTTTTATAAACTCATGGGATCTCAGCTCCAGGTGACTTTTCCTTTCGGAGAAGCTTAATCACCTAGGACAGAGCTTTCAGCTGCTCACCAGTCTACACCACCAGCCTGCATCATCCACAGCTGCCATCCAGCTGTGCCATAACTGACAGTCTACAGGATCCTGGCCTATCGTTCACCAGCTTCTCCACAACCCAGCCTGCTTCCTACGGCATGAGTCATTCCCCTATTGGGCCTGAGTATCTGGGAGACCTTCTAGGGAATCATCAAACCCAAGGGACATAAATGAGCTAGGAAACTGAAAAAAAAAAAAAGAATGAGCCAGATGTCAGGAATCATGGCTTTATATGGCAAGTCTAGTCCCATTTGGGACCCTCTTGACTTGAGACTTCTTATAGTCTGCTGTTAATCTTGTTGATTGCCTTTGAGTGGAGCATGACATACAGCGACCCCATGAACTAAAAGCCTGTAGCTTTTATATAATGACATTTATCAAAGTTCACAGTTTCTGGAGACATGTTATTTAGGAAGTGAATGCCATTTCTGCTTCCAAATCTTCTTGTTGATTGTCTTCGAGTTAAGCATGACGATAGCGACCCTATCAACAAAAGGCTTGAAGCCCCTCTACAACTATCAACATTTATCAAAGTTCATAGAGTTTCCGGAGGCATTTTCTTTAGGAAGTGGACGTCACTGTTACTTCCAAATCTTAGCAGGAGAAATTATGAACACAGTCTTCCAACCCAGTGTGACCACTTTAGACTGCATGGCACAATATGTACTACTAAGATTCACAGGTTACAGCAGTGTTAGGTTACTGTGGCAAATTGCCACAAACTCTTGACTTAGAAACAATACATTTTTGGTTTTAGGGAGTTTTTTTGTTAGGGGGTTTGGCTTGTTTTTTTTACAGTTTTACAGATTAGGGGAGCTCTGGTGAACTAGTAGTAAGGAGTTGCACTGCCAATGCAAAGGTACATAGTTTGAAACCACAAGGTGCTTTGCAGGAGAAAGATGGGCAGTCCCTCCCATGTGATCTGCCTCCAAAAATCTCAAGAGGGTCATCTTGGGGTTGGTTCCAACTCTATGGTACACAGCAAGAACACAACGGAGATTAGAAGTCCAAGGTCACTTTCACTGTCAGCTGGGCTGTGTTCCCTAGTGGAAAATAGTTTCCTTGCCTTTTCCAGCTACTAATCCTGCACTTGTTTCATGCCCTTTCCTCTGTCTTCTAAGGTTGCAATGTGGTATTTTTAGGAGGTATTGGATCAGTTCCAACTAATAGCAACCCCAGAACAACAAAATGAAACACAGCGTCATCCTCACAGGTGCTGCTTCTGCTCATTGTTGAAGCCACTGTCCAATTCCTTGAGGGTCTGCAATTAGTCCTTGGTCTTGTTTTGATTTACATATTGAACTTCTCCCTTGACTCTTTCCACAGATGTTGTCAATTGGCTTCCTGTGTATACAGTCTGGTGAGGTCCATGTGTATAGTCACTGTTTATGTTGTGAGAAAAGACACTTGTTGTAATACTGCTGGTTTTGCATGTGATCTCGAGTCAATTCTGTCACCCAACACAAAATGCTCATCAGTAACACTTGTTTACAACTTTCATATTCCTCATAAAAACCTCAAGTCCATTTCCTTCTAGTTGGAACTGCCTTCTATCTGCCTCTCTAATGGGTTTTCAGAGGCTATCAATTGTACGGAAAGAGACTGTCTCTCTTTCTGTGGCAGAGCAACTAGATTTTCACTGCTGTAGGAAACATCATGATATTGAAGTTGTCGACAATTTCATCTTAATTGGATCCATAATTAACATCTTTGGTACCAGCAGTCAAGAAATGAAAACACATAATGCCATTGGGAAAATCTATTGTCAGGGACCTCTTACGTTTCAACACTTAAGGCGTGCCCAAGCCAAGCCCTGATCTTGAAAAAGAAAATAAATTATACTAGTTTATTTAAGAAATTCAAATACATTGTTTTCCACACCAGATTCTTCCAATTTCACTCACCCCACATCTTATTGCACAACCCCATGATTAATCTCCCAAGCCATGACCTTTTTGGTTACTTGAGACACATCTGAAAGCTGGACAGTGACTAAGGATGACAGAAGAATTGAAGCCTTTGAGTTGTGGTGTTGGAAAAGAGTACTGAATTTCCATGGACTGCCAAAAGAACAACCAAGTATGTCTTAGAGAAAGTGCAACCAGGGTGCTCCTTGGAAGCAATAATGGTGAACCTTCATCTCACATTGTTTGAGTATGTTAGAAGGGTCTAGGCCTTTGAGAAGGACATCATGCTAGGAAAGGAAGACCCTCAACAAGATGACTTGACATAGTGACTAACAATGGGCTCAAATGTTGTGAAGATGGTGAGGATGGCACAGGAGAGGGCCAAGTTTAGATCTAGAGTTCATAGGGTTACTAGGAGTCACAGTCGACTTGATGGTTTGTAACAACCACCAACTTCACGTTGACAATGCAACTCCCAACCCATTAGATCACCAGAGCTCCCTTTCACATTCCAGTCACCAGTAATGAATTGATTGCATATATGATCAATTTCAGGCTGCAGAAATTGGCAACATCTTTGGCATAATGGTTAATGCATGAATTTGAATAAGTTGAAATACAATGCGTGATGTTTGCTATAATGTGCTGTGATGATTCACCACAAAGTTCTGGCAATATGACAAGAAGCAAAGAGGGAGAAGGAAAAGTTAGGGCTGTATTATAAAGAGCCCTAAATGATTGGTGAGCCCAGAGTTAAACTTGCCAGAGTTTTCCAAGAAGATTAGATCTGTGTTTCCATCTATAGAAAATGAGAAGAAAAAAAATATTAAAAGGAGAGATTTTTTTTTCCATAATGGAAATAGTAAACTTACTGCCTAGTAATGATTAAATTCAATTGAAAAATAAAATTTAAAATCAATTTTATTAATAAAATGTTTCAAAAAGTGGCACTCTGCCAATAGGTAGTGCCCCCGTGTGCTTGACTAATTCTTGAGACATAAAATAAACTATGTATATTCACAGAATTCAAAGTCTAATATGGGAGCTGCAGATAACAGTAAAAAGTATCTTGACTACAACACAATCAAGCAGTACTTAGAGGATGTGGAAGTCCTTTTTTTTATTATTATTAATTTCAATGAAAATTTACAGAGACTTTGGATTTCCACTCATTCATTGTTGCACTTTTCTCCCCTTCCAACCCTCCCCCCCTAGTACACTACCCTCTTGGAAAAGTAAAAGTAAAATTCTTTCATTGTTTTACAATCCCTCCCCCCAGGTCCACTCCACTATACAGCCTTTGCGCTGGACTCCTGTCATGACAAAAATACCTAATAACATGACTTAAAGAGTCTTAAAGAGTTTTCTCCCTCATTTATTTCAGTGCAATATACATTATTGAACCCATCTTTCTCAGTCTCCCCCCAACCCGAGGTCAGTCCCATTTTACAACAGTGGCACCATGCAGTATTTGTCCTTTTGCGACTGAGGTACTTCACTCAGCATAATGTCCTCCACAGTCACCCATTTTGAATAATATTGCATGAATTCCTTGTTTTTCAATGCAGCGTAGTATTCCATTGTGTGAATATACCACAGCTTCTCTATCCATTCATTTGTTGATTGACACTTAGGTTGTTTCCAACTCCTTACTATTGTGAACAAAGCCACGATAAACATGGGTGTGCATATATCTGCTTGGATGTCAGTTATGGTCTCTTTGGGGTATATTCCCAGTAGTGGAATTGCTGGGTCAAATGGTATCTCTCAAATTGCAGCTTTTATAGAAAGCGCCATACCACCTTCTACAGTGGTTACACCATTTTACACTCCCACAAAGAATGAATAGGGGTTCCAGTTTCTCCACAACCTCACCAGCATTTGTTGCTTACTGTTTGTTAAATTTTGCTAGTCTGTCTGGGGTGAGATGATTTCTCATAGTTGTTTTCATTTGCTTCTCCCTTAGAGCTAGCGATTTTGAACATTTCTTCATCATTTGTACACTAACTTTCATTGGCTGTATTTGTGTCTACATTTCATGAAATCTGTGGTTCAAAAGAGATTCACATAGCCATCTTATTCCAAACACACCAGAAAATTTTCTAATAATGGGATTGAATAACAGTTTTAAAATTACCAATGAAGGAATTATTTTTCTTTTATTTTTCAAAGAGAAGAGAGAACTGGGCGGGAGGGGTGGGCAGGGAGAAAAGTACAATGAATGAATGGAAATCCAAAATCTCTGTAAAAGTTCATTAAAATTAATAAATTAAAAAAAATACAGTTTAAAGATGTAAAAATGTACTTCTTCAGTTGCTCTAATCACAGTTCAAGATGCCCGTCGCCATACGTGGCTCGAGGCTGCTGTGTCAGACAACGCAATTCTAACATGTTCTTCCCCTCAGGCTTGCTTTTGACATTCACTACAAAACCAACTCCTATACAGCTTTTGGTCTTGTTTCTCATTTAGAATATAACTAATATTTCCTAGTTTCCTTCTTGATTTGGCCCCAAGTTCCTTCATTCTAGCCAACTTCCTTTTTCCTCCCATAAATATGCCTGGTTGTTGCGTTCACCTGGAGTCCTCATTTCATTTGCTGTTGTGTGTCACCAACTCGGAACCAACTCAAAGCTGATCCTCCAGTGGGTTTTAAGTCAATCACACGGGAGGAGATTGCCTGTCCTCCTCCTGTGGAGCAGCTGGTGGATTTAAACCATGTATTTTTGGGATTCCAGCACAACTTCTTACCACTAGACCACGAGAGCTCCCTACAGATTTCATTTGTAGCAGCTACCAATTCAGTGCAGTGAAAGCAATTCAGGGTATCATGTGCTCCTGAACCTCTTAGTTCTATTATATTACTCAAGCCCTACTTCCCTCTTTTGTAATCACATGCATCCCTTTATAGCTTGTATGTAATTTATGTTTTTCTTCATATTACCTAGTTTAAAATTTGCAATGGTGTGAAGTAAATAGGAAATCTGGTACTAATTCTCTTTTAGATAGAAGCACTATCCACCAGGATAATTATTATATTTGCCTACATCACATAGTTGAATAGTAATGAAGTTATTCATAGTAATGGAGCTGAATTAGAAATTGTTATGTTTTAACTTTCATTTTAGTGCATTTCCGCTTACACTGTTACATCCCCATTCGGAAAAGGCTTCCAGAGATTGTCAGAGCCATCTCTTCCCTGTCCCATTCAACCTTGTAGTATACTATAAATAGCCTTAAAATGTTAAGGCTTTTAAAAAAGAAATAATCTCAAGTATTAGCTTAAATTACCTGAAATAATTCCTCCTGGGAAACTGGATTACTACCTCAATATTTAGGAATTATTTTTTTTAATTTGAAAATACTTATTTTAAGTCTAAGATTGTTGAATTAATTTAAATTACTGTCTTGCAGTGAGTAGGCCAGGAGGATCGCATCTCTTCATTTACATATATATAGACCCAGGATATGAATGGTAAAAGAGAGATTGTAACAGCAATGGTCAACTGAGTTCTTCCAGCAACTGGAGTCCTGTAAAGACAGACACACATAAATGCTGCTAAGAACGAACAACAAACATCATGGATTACTTCGGGCATAATTATAAAGATTAGTACAATTTTAATGTATTCTTTTCCTGTTTTTAAATATAATTGACACAAAGTTCATAAAACCAAATTCCAGTGACTTATCACAAACCAAGCACCCATGTAATAACCATGCCGGTCAAGAAACAAAACCCTGGCAGTACCCCAAAAGTCCTTGTACATCTGCTCAATCTGTGTCCTTTACTTCTCTCCCAAAATGGCCATTGAGAAGCCGCCTCTGGAGTCAGACTTTGACTTCTAATACTACAGCTTTGTTGTTGTTTTTATTTTATAGAAATGGAATCACTGTACTTATTTTTGGTCTAACTTCTTTGTTGTAGCTAGCAATAATTTCTTTTCATTGCTACATAATATACCATTGTATGATTATATAGGTTAATCTATTATATACTGATGGACATTTGGGTTATTTCCATAATGCTGCTATGAACACTCTTTTAGATATCTTCTGATACACATATGCTGTTGTTGTTGTTGTTGTTGTTGTTATGTGCTGTCAAGTTGCCTGTGACACATAGTAACCCTATGTAAAATAGTGCTGAAGCCTGCCCTGTCCTGAGCCAGTCTCACTGACTCTGATACACCTACCCCCATTACCCCATCTCATCTGGGGTCTTCCGCTCCTGCATTGTCCGTCCATCCTTCCAAGCATAATGTCTTTCTCCAAGGATCAGTCTCTCCTGAACACACGCCCATATTATGTGAGATGGAGTTACAAAATCCTCGCCTCCAAGGAGAAATCTGGTTTCACCCTCTTCAATATAGACCTATTTGTTTTCTTGGTGGTCCATAGTATGTTCAAGACTCTTCTCCAGCACCACAATTCAAAGGCATCTATTCTTCTTCTATCATCTTTAGTCACTGTTCAGCTTATTAATACATAGCAAGTAATTGCAAAGACCATGGCCTGGATTAAGTGTACCTTAGTCTCTAGACTGACATCATTGCTTCTCAATACTTTGCAAAGGTCCCTGATAGTAGATTTACCTAATGCAATTCATCTTTTTCTGACTACTGGTGCCAAGAAATAAACCCCCAAGAATTGAGGGAATACCAGCTGGCATATTTCAACAAACAGATGCTGCCCTGGATGTGCTCATCAAATTGTGCCAAGAAATCTGGGAGGACAACTACCTGGCCAACTGACTGGAGGAGATCCATATTTATCGCCATTCTAAAAAAGGTGACCCTACAGAGTGTGGAAATTATTGTATAATAACTGTCATATCACACACAAGCAAAATCCTGCTAAAGATTTTCTAAAAACAACTGGAACAGTACATTAATAGAGAATTACCAGAAATACAAACTGGGTTTAGAAGAGGTCTTGGCACTAGAGACATTACTGCCAGTGTCAGATGGATTTTGGCAGAAACCAAAGAGTACCAGAGGGATATCTATCTGTGTTTTATTGACTATGCAAAGACATTTGACTGTGTGGATCACAATAAATTGCAGTTAATCTTATGGAGAATGGGGATCCCAGAACACTTGACTGCTTATGCAAAACCTATACTTGGATCAGGAAGCAGTCCTCAGAACAGATCAGGGAAACACCACATGGTTCAAAATCAGGAAGGGAGTTTATCAGGGTTGTATCTTATCTCCATACCTTTTAAATCTATGTGCAGAACAGATCATTCAGGAGACTGGGCTTTATGAGGAGGAATGTGGCATTAGGATTGGAGGAAGACTCATGAACACCTGCATTATGCAGATGACACAACCTTGCTGCTGAAACTGAGGAGGACCTGAAGTGCTTGCTGCAGAAGGTCAAGGACTATAGTCTTCAATATGGTTTGACGTTTAACATCAAGAAGACAAAGATTCTCACCAATGGCCAATTGGCAGCACCATGATGGAGAAGAGATTGAAGTTGTTAACAGTTACAGCTTGCTTGGCTCCATATAGTGGACATTTCTATTGGTATGTACTTAGCAGTAGAACTGCTAGGTCAAAGAACATGTGCATGTTCAAGTTTAGTGATAATGGCAATTTCACAAAGAAGGTGTAGTAAGTAATGTGCCAGATTACCAACATTAACAACAAAAAGTCAGTGATTTGAATCTACTAACTGCTCTGTGAGAGAAACACGAGCAGTCTCCTCCATAAAGATTTACAGCTTCAGGAACTCAGTGGAGGCACAATGTGCTGGAATCGACTGGAGAGCTGGTAGTGGGTTTTACTAGTTTCCATTCTTACCAGCACATGATCGTTCCTTCTGCTCCTTGCCATTACTTGACATTGCAGTTGGTGTCTTTCAAAATTTTAACCTTTCTGGTGGACATACATAGAGATATCACATTAGGATATTTTAAATTTTTTTATTCTTATTTTATTATTTTTTGTGCATGTACCACCAAATCAGATCTGACTGGTACAGGAGGAGGTTGTCCCTCCTTCTCCGGCAGAGCATCTGGCGAATTTGAACCATGCACCTCTGTGATTGCAGTGCAGCTTCTTGCCACTAGGCCACCAGAGTTCCCTTACATTAGGATTTTAATTAGCAGTTCTCTAATAACTAATGTTGAACATCTTTTCGTATATTTCTTGGCTGTTTGAATTTCTTTCCTTCCCCAACCCTTCCCCTATTCTATTTCCTTTCTCATTTTTCTTTTGGGTTGTCCTTATTTTTCTTACTTATTTGTGGGCATTCATCACATGTTCTAAATACAAATCCTTTGCCATAGATAGATATAGATGATATAGATATAGATATAGATGATATAGATATAGGTGATATAGATATAGATGATATAGATATAGATATAGGTGATATAGATATAGATATAGATATAGATGATATAGATATAGATGATATAGATATAGATGATATAGATATAAAGATATATATATATATATATAAATATCTTTCCCCAGTCAATTAGTGATATCTTTTCCTACTCCCTAATAATATCACAAGCCACCCTGAGGGAAAAGATGCACAGTCTCCTCCTGTACTATTTATGGCCTCAGAAAACCCATAGGAGGGTCAACTATGAGTTGGTTCTGACTTAGGGGCAGTGAGTTTTAAGTTTTGAAACTTGACAAGGATGTCAAGTCACTGATAAAGAAAACAATGTTGAAATCGGTCTTTTTCTAATGTTTTCTGTGTTCTGTTTAAGAAAACGTTCCCTCTCTAAGGTCTTAAAGATACTCACTCTAAGTTACCCTGTACAAGTTGGACTGTTTTGCCTTTTCCATCAGATACACACTCTACCTGTAACTCATTTTTATGAAAGTCATTTGGGTTGCTCCACTTTTTCTAAATGGCTGTTCAGTTGGTCCACACTGTTTATTTGAAAAGTCATACTTGATGGTTCACACAACAGTTATTTTAAAAGACTGCCTTTCTTAGCTTCCCTGATGTCCCCCTCATGTCAAGGGTCTATAAATGCATTAATTGATTTTATACTCTACTCTGCTATATTCCATTACTTGTCTATCATTGAGTTGATATCATTAGCTACTATACAACTATCATTAGTTGTTTTACACCATCAAGTCTGAACTGACTCATAGTTGACCCTCCAGCAGGAACTTAAAGGCTGTAATCACAGAAGAGTACCTATCTTTCTCCGGCAAAACAAATGATGGATTCAAACTACCTGCCTTTGGGTTGGCAGCACAACTTCTAAGCACTCAGCCACCAGAGTTCCCTATTTTGCTAGTAGTATAGGTTTATACTAAAATCTATTATAGTTTTTTATAGTTTTATATGCTTGGAAGGGTGGAGGGACAGCCAAGAGAGGAAGACTGTTGATGGGATCGATTCAGTGACTGGGGTAATGAGGCTAGGTGTGTCAGAGACAATAAGGTTGGCACAGGATAGAGCAGGGATCAGAGCTATGAGTTGCAAGTGACTCAATGGCACATAACAACATGTAGAGATCAAGCATAGACTTAATCTTACCTATAATAGATATTTTTGATGTGCTTATGAATGGTATCTTTTCATTGTCAACTTATTGTAACTGCTACTTGCTGACAGAAATGTAGTTGAGTTTTGTATATTGACCTACTATGCCCCAATGATACTAAACTCACTTATTAATGATAATAATTTACTTGTACATTTTCTGTATGTGCAATCATGTCATTTAGCAATTTTGTTTCTTACTTTTTAATTCTTGTGTTTTTGCTTCTTTTCTTTCCTTATTGTACTGGCTGTGACAGTAGCTGAGGAGCCCTGGTGGCACATCTGTGTAAATGCTCAGTAGCTTACTGCAAGTTTGGAAGTTTGAACCCACCACTGTCCCTGCTGGAGAAAGATGTTCCTGGCCGCCTACTGCTTTAAGGCTTAGCCCGGAAAATGCCATGTGGCAGTTCTACTCCAACTGTGAGTAGGAACCCACTCACTGGCTTTGGTTTGGGTTTCAGTTTATGACAATAGCTAGGACATTCCTGAATAGAAGTGACAATCGTGGTTAACCTCAAGTCATTCCTGATTCTCAGGGAAAGTTTTCCATTGTTCCTATAAGCGTGGAAGGACAGCACAGGAGAGGAAGACCTTGGATGAAATGAGTTGGTACAGTAACTGAGGAAATGGGGGTAGTTGTGTTGGCGACAGTGAGATTGGCTCAGGATAGGGCAAAGTTCAGAGCAACTGTCCATAGGATTGCCAAGAGTTGCAGGCAACTCACTGGCACATAACAACAACATATATATATATATATATATGAACATTTTAGAGTTGTCTTTTGTAAGTAGTGTAGACTTAGGTCTTAATGATAATTATCATTGCTCAGGAAGCATGGTGGGTGGGTCTTGTGTTGTTGGGCTGCAAACCAAAAAGCCGGTGGTTGAATCCCCTGGCTGCTCTGTCGGGGAAAGGCAGGCACGTTCCTCCTTCAAAGCTTTAGACCCATAGATGGTCTCTCAGAGTTAGAATCAACTTGATGGTTGTGGGGTTTTATCACTAATAGATGTTAATTTTATGAAACACTCTTTTTTAATCTATTGATAATATGGTTGATTTTCTTTTATTTATGCGGGCAAAGCATTGATATTTGAATGTCAAACTAACTTTGTATTCCTAGAATAAGGGACAACCTAACCTTGGTTGTTGGGTTGTATAGTTTAGCAACCATTTCTAAATGCTGTGTTTAGTACTCTTCCCCTCTGGTCAAGAAAGAGGTGGCTCTGTAATATTTTTAAAAAAATGTTCTTGTCAGATTTTGTTTTGAAGGTTATTCTAATTGGATAAAATGAGTTAGAAAATACTTGTTTTTCTACCCTCTGGAAGAATTCTCCAGTTGTGCTATTTAGTTCTAGAGTTTTCATTTTAGGGGAAATTCAAATTACAGTCTTACTTGTGTTAGTAGTTAGAGGACTGCTCTTAGAATACAATTCTTATGTTGGTTTTTATAATTTTTTCTTTTTTTAGAATTTATCCATTTTACCTTCAGTTTCAAATTTATTCATAAAAAGGTGTTCATAATATCCTCTCATGATTTTTATAGTATTTGCTAGTTTTATAGTGATTTTAAAAATCCAAATCAAAAAAAGTATATATGATACTTGTCATTTCCCATCATCCCCTGCCAGAGCAAATAAAAGCAGGGACAAATAACCAATTTCAGGAATACATTTTAGTTTAGTTTACTGGGGATTTTTTGTTGTTTGTTGTTTTTTTTTTTTAAATCACTACAGAGTGTTCTGGTTTATCCAAGAGAGGGTGAAACGAGGCTGCTCCTTGTAGGCAAGGATTTTCAGGCTCTGTCCCACAGACTTTGGGCATGTGGCCAGGAGAGACCAGTCCCTGGAGAAGGACATTATGTTTAGAAGGGTGGAAGGACAGCACAGGAGAGGAAGATCTTAGATGAAATGAGCTGACCCAGTAATTGAGGAAATGGGGGTAGGTATGTCAGAGACAGTGAGATTGGTTCAAGATCAGGCAGAGTTCAGAGCAACTGTACATAGGGTTGCTATCAGTCGCAGGCATCTTGATGGCACATAACAACAACAACAACATGCATATTTTAGAGTTGTCTTTTGTAAGTAGTATAGAGTTGGGGCTTTAATATTTTTATCAACTTTAAAAATCTATTTCTTAATAGAAGTGTTTGGTCTATTTACATTTACTGTGGTTACTGATAATTTGTTGTTGTTGTGAGCTGTTGAGCCAATTCTGACAGAGTAAAACTGTCCCATGATGTTTCCAAGAGTGTGATCTTTACAGAAACAGGCTGCCATGTTATTCTCTCATTCAACTGGTAGGTTCAAACCAACAACTGTTTGATCAGCAGCTGAGCAACTGGGTTAACTGAGTTAACCACTGAACAACCAGGTCTCCTTGGTTATAGTTATCTTTGAGTTTACATTTCTATTGCAACATTTACTTTCCATTTTCCATGTCTTTTATCTTCTTGTCTTCTATATTCATTTTCTATAAATATCAGAATCCATTATTATTAGCTTTGGCATCCTAGAGGTGTAGAGGATTAAGCAGTGGGCTACTAACCAAAAGCTCAATGGTTCAAATCTCCCAGCCACTCTGGGAGAGCAGTACGTGACACCATGCTTCCATAAACATTTACCGCCTTGGCAACCCTATGGAGTAGTTGTACTCCATCCTATGAGATTGCTGAGTCATGCAAAAAAAGAGAGGAGGTAAATGAATGGGACCTTCTAAAGATCAGGTCATCATAACCTCTATGCATCAAAACCTTTTTTCCCCAACAGGGTAAAAAGAAAACCTACTGACTAGGGAAAACCATTTGGCAATGGTGTTTCAGACAAGGCCTCATAATAAAAAAGTTTACAGAATCCTATAGGACCTCCACAAGAAAAAGACTGATAACCCACTTACAAAATGGGCAAAAGACATGGAAAGACTTCATAAAAGACATTCGGATGGCCAACAAACACATGAAAAAATGCTCAAAGTCACTGGCAATAAGAGAGAAGCAAATCAAAACCACTGCGAGAAACCCTATGGAAGTGGCAAAGTTAAACAAGATAGCAAGCAATAAATGTGGAGAGACTGGAATTCTCAGACATTATTGGCGGGATTGTAAAATGGTACAACCACTCTGGAAAGCAGTTTGGCATTTCCTCAAAAAGCTGAACATAGAAATTCAATATGACTCAGCTATTCCACTGTTAGGAAAAAACATCAAGGAAAATAGAACAGGGACTTAAATGGAGATTTGTATATCAATGTTCAAAACAGCATTATTCATAATAGCATGAACATGGAAGCAGCTTGAATGTCCATCAATAAACGAATGGATTGAGAAATTGTAGTACATTCACAGGATGGAATACTATTCAGCACTCAAGAGCAATAATTTTGTAAAATACTATATAACATGGGAGAGGCTAGAGAGCATTATGCTGAGTGAATTAACTCAGTATCATAAGGACAAATACCATATAACATCATTATTATAAAAATAGAAGGTTAACCAGTAAGGTGTCTATGAAAGTGCAAAGAGGGAAGGGGGAGGAGCAGAGGAGGTAGCATGGGGAAGGGGGGGAAATCACGGTTTGCAGAGTTTGATATGCAGGGTGGTGGTGGTGAAGGAATTAGAAAAGATCCAGTGGGGACTTGAAAAGATGGAGTGAGAGCAGGCATTGATCAATGGTGATTGATTTTATAAAACACAATGTATGGGAACGAAACAAAATGTGTGCAAATTTCATATATAAATCAATATAAAAGAAAAAAGATTGTTATGAATTGGAATCAATGTGACAGCTATGGATTTTTTTTAATTATTAGTTTTCCATGTACAGAAAAGATTTCTTTAAAAAGATTCTTATTTTTATTTTTGTGTCAATATATTCATTTACTTACCTGTTTTTTTCCAATCTTTAAGGCATTTAATTTTCATTTGTTGTTGTTGTTATGTGCTGTCGAGTCACTTGCAACTCATAGTGACCCTATGTACAACAGCCATAAACCCTGCTCTATCCTGTGCCAACTTCATTGTCTCTGATGCACCCACTCCCACTACCCCAATCACTGAATCGATCCATCTCGAGGGTCTTCCTCTTCTGTGCTGTCCCTCCACTCTCCCAAACATGATGTCCCTCTCCAAGGACTGGACCCTCCTTGCAACATGCCCAAAGCATGTCAGACGGAGCTTCGTAATCCTTGCCTCTAAGAAGCAGGCCAGCTTCACTCTCTCCAGGACAAACCTGTTTGTTCTCCTTGCAGTTCATGGTACATTTAACACTTTTCTCCAGCACCACAGCTCAAAGGCACCAATTCTCTTTCTATCATCCCTAATCACTGTCCAACTCTCTGATGCATAGCAAATAATTGCGAAGACTACAGCCTGGATCAGGCGCACCTTAGTCTCCAGCCTGACATCGTTGCTCTTCAGAACTCCTGAGAGGTCCCTGACAGCTGACTTTCCCAATGCAATTCTTCTCTTGATTTCCTGGCTTCTGGTACTTTCCTGGCACTTAGACTAGCAGATATGGCAATTGAGACTGAGATCTCAGATATGGAAACGCAAAGAAGGAGGCAGTAGGCAGACACTAGTGATTGGAATGTGGACTGTGAGAAGCATGAATGTTGGAAAATTGGACACTGTTAAGGAAGAAATAGAATTTTCATTAAGGTATTAAAACTTACTTTGATGAACTACAGCATAGGCTCATCCATGCAGCTATAATCACCAGACCAAACAACTCCCTATAAAAAGATCACACATTTTATATGTTTGAGTGACTATAAGTGACACACATATCATCACAGTCTATTTAATTTCACTGTTTGGATCATATTCTCTAAAATATAAATCACCCACAGACTATTTTCAAGTCTGGTCATGATTCATAAATTACTTTATTTAGACAGCTTAAAGTCTTATGTGAATATAAATTTTACCAGATGAGACAGGCTTAAGATACAAGACTCTGCTTAACAGTAAGGAAAAACAACCACCAAAACCTCAGATAAAGTACTCCATGTCACTAGGGGAAATAGTAAATCAAGGAAACAATTCTCAGTGGTTATTTTTTAGATGGTTCAGTGTCAACGTACAATCAAATCAATAAGTAATTTGAGCACCTAATCCTCACAACTGGGCCAATAGGCAACATTATGATAGATGGAGAGAAGATTGAAGTTGTCAACAATTTCTTCTTGCATGGATCTACAATCAACACCCTTAGCAAAAGTAGTCAAGAAATCAAAAGATATATTGGGTAAATCTTCTGCCAAGGAGTTCTCTAAGGTGTTAAGGAACAATGGTGTCAGTTTAAAGTCTAAGGTGCATCTGGTTCAACCTATGGTCTTTTAAATTCTTATGCATCTGGAAGTTGGACAATGACTGAGGATGACAGAAGAACTGATGCCTTTGAATGGTAGTACTGCAGAAGAGTATTGAGTATTACATGGACTGCCAAAAGAAAAAGTCCTGGGGAACCTGAGGCAAGGATGGGAAAGCTTCATTTCATATATTTTGGGCAAATTGTTAGGAGATCCTTGATAAAACACCTTATGTTTGAAAGGGAGGGGGTCAACAAAAGAAAGGAAGAGCCTCAACAAAATAGACTGGCACAGTGACTGTGCCGATGGGCTCCAGTATATCAGAGATGATGAGGATGGCCCAGGACAGGGCAAGGTTCAGATCTGTTTTTTACAGGCTTGCATAAGGTCGAGCTGATTCAATTCATTTGATTTACACTCTCATCTACAAAAGTTTTACAAGAACTTAAACCCAAATGAAGGAGCAACCTCTTTGGTAAGTTTAACTTTTAGAACTTGTATTTTTGTTGTTGGCAGCCATTAGCAATAGGTTAAAAAGGAAAGGAGAGATAATAGTAACGAGTTTGGGGAGGCTGTAAAGAGGTTATAGGAAGAAGAGCTGAAAAAAGAGAAAGGAACAAATGGCCATGACAAAGGGAGGAGGTGACAGGAGGCTTTCCAGGGCAAAGCTGACAGAGGGGACACAGTGCTCAGTGCTAGGTGGAGAATGGACTTGGAATCCTGACAGCATTATCATCTGATTAGACTTCATCATATCCCGGCTAGTCCTGAGGTGGCCAAGGTCAAACTCCATGGTAGTAATATAATGAGACATGTAATAACTACCGATCACCTGTAGTAGGAACAATGGACTATGACTGCCACTTCTGGGTTTGAACTTTGACATCATCATTTCCTGTGTTTCTTCAGCTTGCAAAGGGAGTAACTGGAGAATTCAATCATCATTGTGGACAAATCAGTTGTTGTTTTAAAGGAATAGGAAACCTCTCAATCACAAAAGAGCGAAAGGCTCTGCTTACCTGCCTTCTTCCTCATGTAAGATGCTCTGCTGTGCATGAAGCAAGAGGGAGGATCCCAAGCTAAGAGCCCACATGATACAAAAGAGTATGTGTATTGTGGAGACGCTCTTCCAAATAAAGTTACCTGAAAAAAAGAGACCCTGACACTGTTAATCATGGAATCATATCCCAGTGAAAAGAGACCTCAGGACTCTCCGTGGATCAGTGCTGCCACAATCTGCTTTCAAAAAGGCATTCAGACAGGACTCTTCCCCTCCCCCCCTTTAAAGGGGCAACAAAAAGGTTACCACAGTAATTACAGACCGAAGTGCACATTTATTGCTTTGATTGCTCAGTTCTTTCCCTTCTTATGACAACTGCTCTGTTCCTCCTGGGAATCCACCCCTTCCACCCTCTAGTTGATGTGTCCCAGTGATTTTTTTCCCCTACCTCCACTCAGAATCCAAAGTTCATACCTGTGACAAAAGGGTTAAGTCCAACAAGCAAGGTCAGCCCTGCAGGTATCGTGTATACCACCTGTTAATAAAACAAAGGGAGGAAATGATGTGGGTTAAGAAGTATGCCCAAGATATGAGATATGCAGAGATATAGAGGAAGTAAAGCAACATTAGTGACCATCGTGTTCCATCAATTACCTCTAGGTTTCAGCCATACAGGAAATGATAATTTCTACAGCACTTACTGTACCATCAGAGTTGTTCCTGACTCCTTATAGGCCATTCCAGAAAGGACTCATGAGTTTTGGAATCCTAGCACTGAGCAATTTTTGAATTGTAGTGGCATAAAGTCCTAATACACACTAATCTCCTGATCTCATCCCAAATTCTGTGCCAGAATTCCCCATTCTTGGTTACATAAAAGAAAATTCTTTTAAAAAGTAGGGAAAGAATAGCGATAATTAGTTTTATAGTCATGCTGGGTCTGGTCCAATGAACCATCAGCCCCAGGATTTCACTCCTAAGTGAGACCATAGAGAGTTTGAGAATAATACATGGATACGATATGACCAATCATAAAATCAGGTGCTTTACTTTAGAAACTTTTGGGTTGGTTTGAGTGTTTTTAAGAGTAGCCCCTTGCTATTGTGAACAAAGCTGCAATAAACATGGGTGTGCATATATCTGCTTGGATGTCAGCTATGGTCTCTTCAGGGTATATTCCCAGTAGTGGAAT